AAAAAAAAAAAAATCAAATAAAGAGACAAACGAAAAAATAAAAAACCCAAGAGCCTAGCTCAGCGGGTACACCATTGAACTGTTGAAATACAGACCCATGTTCGAACCTAGATGACGGAACTTGACGAGTAAACCCACATATTTCCGAATTGCCTGGCGCCGGTCAGCTCAATGATGATATCTCAAGACCGTCGCCTCCTTACCCAAAAAAAAAAAAAAAAAAAAAAAAAAAAAAAAAAAAAAACACCATGTCTTCGTCGAGGTTTGTTCCTGTCGGAGGAAGATATCGGACATTCATGTTGTCCAGACTCCAGAATCCAGATACAATGCATCCTAGGCTACCAACCAGACTGTCGTGGTTAACTTGCGATGCCGGCTTGCCAATCCAGACCAGGGCCGGGTAAGTGCCGAGGCAAGGTCCGGCGCAACCCCAGCGCAAAATATGAATAAAATTCAATAAATAGATAGAATTTGGTTAAGAAAATCCAGGGGGGAAAAAAACGGTATGTGAAATTACTAAATTAGTTCAAATTACAAACCAAACAAACTTTTGGCTGAGGGTCACCTGAAGGTTCATTACTAAATTGAAAAAAAAAAAAAAAAATGATAATTTCCTAGGCTACCAAAGTGGCCCTGGACCGCTTGCCCGACCGGGCCCAAAAAAAAAATAAAAAAAAAAATAAGAAAATAAAAAAATACGAAGAACAAGCCCTCGTGGGGCCCTATCAGACATCACATGTTCTGGGCAAAGGCCCCCAGCAAGCCAAGTGCCCGCCCTAAGTGAAGGCGGGCCTGAATATTTGTCAAAGGCCAAAATTTGACATTTTCAGACGTGGGTATTCAGGCTCTTGCAGCTCGCCAGTTTGTTGAGTGGACGCACGAGCCTCACTAAGCTGCATTTTACAGTTGGCCCAGGCCTTGGCAGTTGATCCTGGGCACATACACACAAAACAGGGCCGATACATTGTGAAGCGGCCAGCGGCTTATGCAAAAGCAGTACTGTTGACGCACCTACCCAGCAGCCCTGCACAAATGCAGGCAACTGCCCAAGTCCAAGGACTACAGGCCCTGCCCAATTGTAAAGGGCCCAGGCCCTCAACTGTTGCCTCGGGCCTGGGCACAGGGACTGATGCCCAACCGGAAGCTACTGGAAGCTTCCAGCTGGGCCACGCGCAGCATCCGGGAGGCTGCCACTTCCATAAAGGAAGAGAGGCAGCCCTGGCCAGGCATTCTGGCCTGTGTAGGCAATGAGGAAGTGCTGCTGCGCTACCGCTTGATGCTGCGCTGCGATCAAGGGCGCTGACGGGGCGCGTAGAGGTGAAGTGGGGCACTGCAGGGCAGCGGGGCGCAGGCAGCCATAGCCGGGCTGCTGGGCGCCAGGGGGTAATGTGGGAGATCTGGTTGTCTTCAGGTAAGGAGGCGAGTGTGGGGTTATCGAGGTCTGATTGAGGGTGACGAGATACATACCTGGTGTATGAGAGAGGTCGGCTATGGTGTTGACATCATGTACATTGGTCTTCGAGAGTCGAAGTGAGCCTGTTGCGTGAACACAGCTGTAGGTATGGTAGTCGGGTGGAGTAGGCTGGGCGCTGGGCGCCAGACAGAGAGGAGCGACTTTGGATACTGTGTTGGTGTGGCCTGCGGGCTTGAACATTGGCTCATTACTGCATTGTATTGCTCTATATGGATGGTTTTCTCGGTGCATTTTTACTCTCTGCTTGGACACGACTACTTGGATATCTGTGTGATTCGCCACTTGGTTTTCCGTATATCGTTCACACTCATATTCCTTGCAAAAAAAAAAAAATATTAAAAAATAATCATGGCTACGATCCGGACGTCCGGACAGCCGTCCGGACGGTCTGGATTCAGTCCGGAATCCAGACGTCCGGTCTGGAAGGTCCGGATCTGGCAAATTTCGAGGGAAAAAAAAAAAAAAAAACGGTCCAGGACCCTTCMCCATTGAAGAGCCAAGCCCCCAAAATTGTCTTGGGGGTTTTTCAGGCCCGTTTATGTTTTTTTTGGGGGTCCGGACATGATCTCTCTCTATAGTAATTTATTAGACAACCCCAATTTTTTTATTATTAATAATGCATTAGAATCATTACCTTTTATTAGTTTTTAAAGTCTTTTTTTAAGCTTTTTATAGTTTTTGACTTTTAACTCAAGTTTGGTTAGGAATTCTGACATGACTCTGAGGCAAAAGTGGTTTGCATTGTTATTCTGCATAACATACTTTTTTTTCAGATTTTTTTTTTTTTTTTTTTTTTTAAATGGTCCGGACATTTCCGGACCTGTCCAGACATCCGGACCGTCCGGATCCCCCCATGTCCGGAGGTCCGGAAATGTCCAGAATTCCGGACGTCCGGAAATGTCCGGACACTGGTCCGGATCCATGTCCGGAAATGTCCGGGTCCGGGTCCGGCGTAGCCATGAAAATAATATAAAAAAAAAAATATTTTATTTTATTTTAAATTCTGTATATCGTTCACACTCATATTCCTTCGTTGGTTCACACTCATATTCCTTGCAAATGATGATGCAGGGACAGGGTGGTTTGATTGCTGGCTATGTAGTTTTCTGTTGAAAATCTGTAAGATGTGCTTTTGTAATTTGTCCTTGGCTGCTATTTGATTCTCTGCCGAGCCTTGAACCGGTGACCTGTGGTGAGACTCTGTTAGTGTTTCGACGGTGCTTGGTACTGTGTTTCGAACCGGCGTTCCAGATACCGTTTGGAGCGAGGGACTGTTTTGGGGCCCTGAACCAACGAAGGAAGGTTATTCGGACCTTTTTGACGTCGTACCGGTTGGGACTACGAACCTACTGTTTGGTTCATCGGAGTTTGGGGCTGCGGATTTGGGATTGTAGGACCTTCTAGAATTTGACTTGTTGATAGCTGTGTTACGGGTGACTAACGGGGATGCCTATATTTAGAATGATTGCGTGAGTCCGTGTCTTTTCGGGTCCTACGTTGTTAGACCGCTGGTGGTTTCCAGAGATGACCAGCGGAATACAGCGGCGGTGGGTTGGTGGGATGTCGGGTTTATCGAGGGTGACGAGAGTTGGAATCTCCCTGAGGATGACCGCGTGGTGGCGGTCGAAACCGGTCGGGGTAGCCATTACCTGCCGGTGCACTGCAATCATGGTAGCTTTTGCTATCCAAGTATCATCGTCTTTCGTTGGATGTCATGTAATACTTGTTGTTCTCTTCGAGATACATGTTGTTCTCTTCGAGTAACTTCCACGTGTTGCTTGTTCTAGCTTTGTGATGATGCTTACTTTCAATCAACGACAAAGAATTTCGATGTGACCCTGACGCAAAAGTGGTTCAGTTTATTTTTCTGCATAACATAGTTTTTTTCCCGGTTTTTTTTTTTTTTTTTTTTTGGCCTAGGACCTTCCCTGTCTTGCACGGCCAGGCCACCTGGGAAAATAGAGTCACCCGGGCGGCCCGGCTGGTAGCCCAGATAATTTATTAATTTGTAAGTTGATGAATTTCAATGCGGCCCTGAGGCAAACGGATGGTAGACCAGATAATTTACTAATTTGTAAATTAATGAAGTTGACTGAACTTATCTCACAGCTGGAATTAGACCACCATGCATTCACATGACCACACGAGTCTCGCACAAAGCCAAGTCGCACAACGGTCGAACGTATGAGGATTGAATAAAAAAAAAGTACTCACCACAATTGCAACAAGAATCCGAATCGCCGTCTTCTTACAGGCGGCTATGGCTGCTCACACACAATGCAGGTACGCCTAACACATATATTTTCTCTTCGCTCGTACTCCTACTCACAGGGGATTGCACTCGCGTTCCTCTCAGAATGTGCCCCCTCTCCCCCCCCTCCCCCCATATCTCTCCCTCTCCCTCACAGACTCTCAAGCCATAGCTATGGTGCGAGGCACCGTCGATCACACTAACGCTATGCTTACATCCACTCACTCAGTTCATCGAATCAACCGCACGAGACACACTCACGTTCCTCTCAGAATGTGTCCCCCCCCCCCCATATCTCTCCCTCTCTCTCACAGACTCTCAAGTTATATGGTGCGAGGCACCGTCGATCACACTAACGCTATGCTTACTTCCACTCGCTGAGTTTATCGAATCAACGCACAAGACCGCAGCAGTGCTTCCACATTGAGCACGGAGCATAATGTGTTGACATTCAAGCGCTATTGAAATTTTGTACTTCCTGCAGCTTCAATTCGGGCCTCCAATGTTCGGGCCCACTCCCCTGTAGCCGTGGTCGCCTTCCAAAATCCGAAAGTAACGGTCGGTCTTCCTCAATAAGCTGCGACTGACATGACAACGTTTTGGACAGACAGACAGACTCCCAGGGACTGCCTACCGACCCATACGGACCTAAGAACCTAAATCGACTTTGATACGGCCTGAATCTAGACTACGGCCTCTACTACGTGCCCTATTGGACCTACAGCATGGGACTATGGTGCAATTGGAAACTGGGACTGTGGGACTCAACCGTGGGGGGGGGGGGGGGGGGGGGGGGGGGGGGGGGGGGGGGGGGCGGGGAGGAGGAGGGGGGGGTACTTAGATTCGTGAATCCTTTCAAAGACCTTCTAAACCCCTTTAAGCCCCTTTGAACCCCTTTAAACCCCGTTTATACACCACACACCCCTAAGGTGAGACATCACCAAATTCAAGAATATGGCCAGATGTGGGAGGTTGCAGAGATACCCCCCCACTTTTTTTCTTTTTTTTTTAACTTCAATTTTTTGGCTTGCCCGCGTGGACATATGCATGCATTCACATAGATGCCATTAGGTTTCAACAACACAGGAAAGCAAAGTGGCAGAAGAAGAGGAAGAAGAAGAAGCAGAGGAAGACGAAGACGAAGAGAGAAAAATAAGAAGAAGAAGAAGAAGAAGGAGACCATAGACCATGCTCGAGTCCAAAAAACTTCGTGATTCTCCCGAGCCCAAACGACGGAAACATAAGATAGTTTAACGATACCGCACCCTCGACACTGCCGCCGCAGTGTTCGGCGTGACTCTACGGTCCGTTTCGGCCGGTCGCCACCAGGCCTCATCAGGAGTCTTTGTTTGTGACCCAGGCAAGTAGGCCCCTGCTGCCCAGGCCACGGAGCCACTCTGGTAGCCTTGAATGCACATCTGATTTCATGGCATAATCACTCGCCTATTTGTAAATGCTTATAGGGCAAAATCTCCTTGATGGAATTCTCAGAAAGGAATTATCAATTTTATGAGGTGGTAGTTTTTTCCTTTTTCACTTTTTTGAAGTTTTTCCTTTTAGGGTCCCTTTTCGGGGGGGGGGATTGCAGGGTTATGTGACAGGCCTCAGCTGCAAGTTCATAACTTCATATTGCTTCATACTAGTTCACAGATTCATAACCAATCCAGATTAAAAAAAAAAAAAGCCAGGCATGCAAATAAAACAAGAAAGGGTACCCAGCCCATGTGGCTGAGTGGTGCTACACCCATGTAACTCTTGATAAGCATACTCTTGATGAGCTCAAATCCTTGTTGAATTGAACCAGATGAGAAAATAACTCTGAACAGTACCTGGGACCGGTCAGTTCGATAGCGTTGTCACACTTCCAAAAAGAAAAATTAAGAAAAAAGGAAAGAAACTACACCAACTACAAAAGGGTTTAAATTTTCCTTTAAAAAAAAAAAAAAGGTGTATTGGTTGACCTAAGATAAGGTTAGCATACCCAAACTCGAGTCTTCAAAAAAAAAAAAAAAAAAGGGTGAAATTTTAAAAACTTCAAAAAACAATGACAACTACAAGCCTACAAGGGACAAAAAAAAGTAAAAATAAAAAAATTGACTCTTTCGAGGCAATCTGATTTCGCAAGGTGCACAGGTTATGTGAGGGAGGGGTGCAACTCACTATGTTCCCCCTGTTTCTTGGACTGCTTTGCGTGGATTGGCTCAGCACCTTCGTCCCCTTGCCGGATGTCTTGATCGTGAAACTGCTTATTCTTTATGATGACAGCAATACAAGAGGGGTGGGGTGGGGGGGTGGGGGGGGTGGAAACCACCACCACCAACAACGGCAGCCACGACAACAACAACAACCACGAGGATAATGACGACAACAACAACAACAACAACAAACAACAACGGCGACGACAAAGGCGATGACAATCAAACCAACAACAACAGCGGGCGGGACGAGAAGGAGCTAAGATTGTCAATCTCTTGTTTATAGTGACAGCAATAGATTAACAATAATCAGAAACCATGTCAGTTCATCGATATCTAGATCTATATCTATATCTATATCTATATACCTTATAAAGCGAGCAGCGGGCTATACCTTAGAAAGCAAGCATGCTCCCTGCTGGGCCCAACAGAATCCGATGGCGGGCAGGACAGTCGGGGAAGACGGATGTCGAGGTGCCACGGGGCTGCTATTATTTAGCATCCGGAACGTATTAGCGTCCGGAACGTTCTATCTATCGCTGCCCGTGAGGTGCGGGCTGCTATTGTTTAGCATTGGGAAAGTTCTATTGCTGCCCACTTTTAGTGTCAGGAGCGTTCTTGCACCTCGCCGTTTTCACCACCGTTTGGGAGGTCGGGCCGTCCTTTTTCCCGTCCGGGCGCTCTTGTCCTTGCACACCCCATTCAGCCCATGTGTGAATACAAGTACATAGCGACCCCGTTCAGCCCGTGTTCGAATACAAGTACATAGCAGGCCCGTTCAGCCCATGTTCGAATACAAGCACATAGCGCGCCCGTTCAGCCCATGTTCGAACACAAGTACATAGCAGGCCTGTTCAGCCAATATTAACCCATTGTGTTTTTTCATAGCCAACCCGGATATGGTGGCAGCAGTGGAGTGAGGGGCTGAAACCCATTTTGTTTTTTTGTAGCCAGCCCGCCCTCACCACATGCACAGAAGACAAAAAATATGGTGTATTCTCATTCCCAGTTTGCACATTTGGTGAGCAGTGGAGCGAGGGCCTGAATCCACACCATACTTCCAAAAAAGCTAAGGAATCCACAAGATACACACAAACTGTCCTAATACAGAGCGGCGCAAGGAACACAAACAGTCATGACAACGAGGGTTTTACTATCATAGTACCATTGTCATGAAATACACCATCGCTGAAACAAAACAGCGATCTCAAGATTCTCAACCCTTCTGCCCTTGTACTACTCAGGTCGAAAAAAGTGCATCCCGCACTCAATCTCCGGTCTTAAATACTCTCTGCTTGCTGAGCACTGACTACCACATTTTGTTCTCTGCTTGTAGAACTTGGAAGGAAATCGCCGAACGCGTGAAAGAGCAAAATGTGGTAGTCAGTACTCAGCAAGCAGAGAGTATTTAAGACTGGAGATTGAGTGCGGGATGCACTTTCCGACCTGAGTAGTACAAGGGCAGAAGCGTTGAGATCACTGTTTTTTTTCAGCGATGGTGTATTTCATGAGGATGGTACTAATGATAGTAAAGCCCTCGTTGTCATGACTATTTGCGTTTCTTAAAAGAAACATGGTGGTGTATAGTCCCATGTTCTAGCAGAAGAATCGTTCTTATTTTTCACATCTGGTGAGTAGTGGAGTGTTGCATACTGTAATGTGCAGACCAGAACAAGAACCGACCTCTCAATACAAAGTACAAGATAACACAGCGGAAGACTTAGATACCAATGATCCGAACAATCAATATTGCAATGCAGCCCTGAACATACATCATCATCATCGTTATCTGGTGTAAAGGGGGTCTGGCGCTTCACACAGGAAGACTGCGCCAGCCCCAACCATACACAGACGAAGAAGGAGGGGTTAGACGAAGAGGAGGGGAAGATGGGAATGT